TTAGGTTTTCATTGGTAGGCCCTCAGAACAGTAATATATCACTCATACATCATCAGGGTATGAGATTGGTTTACCTTTAAAGAGATCGAAACGTTACCGCCTTACAGCCCTTTGATTGGTTCCTTGGGAGCTGGCAAATCAGAGTCCCGAACGCTTTAACGTTTCCGTCTCGATCTTCGTCTTCGATATTCGATTTCGATAAGATCTTGTATCAAGCCCTCTGTTAAAGTACATTCGATCGGTGACTTCGTCTTGTTGTCGTAAGACCTTATTATAAATAGTTGAGAAGTAGTAACATAATTTATTAGTTAAGAACATTTGGATTTTTTATCGAACTTCATACGGGTCCGCTTGTACCTATTCTTACTCATACATACATGCATAACCACACGCCTATCTCTCATGGGGGTAGGCAGGGATACTTAACGCCAATTGCTACGATTCTTACATACCTCTTTCACTTCCTCAGCAGTCATCAGTCTTTTCATACATGCTCGTCGGTTTAATGGCTCTTCTTTAATATATCTTATCCTACTCCTACATTGTTTAAAGATAAATGCATTTTTTCCAGGCTCTTAGCAGTTCTTGGCCCAGACAGAGACGTAGAAAAAGATGATATAAATAAACTAGTTTATACTAACGCGGTTATAATGGAGTCTCTAAGGTTGTTTCCGTCGATACCATCCTTGTTTAGGACTGTCGAAACCGATGTTAAGCTGAGTGAGTATTATGTGTTTAGTCAAAATCAAATCATTTATTTCAATTAAAACTTAATAGGCACCTTTGAAACGTCAAAAATTGAATTGACCGTCCGTCTGTCTGTCAGTGAAGCTAGGCACTCGACTTTCAAAGTGTAGTTTTGAATGAAGAAGAACGACAAAAAATCTACATCGTTACTCTTTAAAAAATATTTTTACAGTCTCACACATAACATAACATAACATCACGCCTTTTATCCTCAAAGGGGTAGGCAGAGGTGCACATTATACCACTGTACAATGTAACACCCACTTTTCACTATTTATGTTATGAGTCCCATGTAATAGGGGGTGAGCCTATTGCCATATACCGGGCACAGTTCCAGACTCCGTGCTACTACTGAGAATTTTTTAAAAACCCAGTAATACTTTGCCCGACCCGGGAATCGAACCCGAGACCCCTTGCTCGGCAGTCGCAATTGCGACCACTCGGCCAATGAGGCAATCAGTTTTACAGTCTCATTGATACATTATCTGATCCGTCTAACTTTTAATGAGCTTCAGTGCAAGCTAGATTAGCATTTAGTTTAGCTAGTCTATTATGTCTAGTCGCGGAGAACCTAACGGGTAACCGGGGCTCCGGCTCGAAGTGCAGTAGAAGGAACAGGGTGGTTTTTAGTCAGTAAGAGTCTGACACTCCCTCCCGCCTCACCCAGGCGGGAGGCTGCTCCCGCCTGGGTGAGGCGGGAGGGAGTGATTCGATGATTTTCCCCCCTTAAAAAAAGTCTATTATGTCTAGTCAATTTTTATCTATCTACTTATCTAAATTGTAACATATTTACACAATTCAATAAAGAACATAATGAACAACTACTTCCAGAAAATGATGACAACAAACTTTCGTATCATTTTCTCTTCAACAATCAAATTGCTGATTATGATTCTTCTTTCAGAAAACTACACAATGCCCGCCGGCAGTTACTGTGTTATCTTCCCAATAGCTGCTTCTAGTGTTGATCCTTCTTGGGGACCAGAACCTGACAAATTCAGACCAGAAAGATGGCTACATGGCGATTTTAGGAACAATAAGGAGTATTCTGCATTTGGCTTAGGAAAGAGAGCTTGTATAGGTAACAATACATTTTTAATTTGATTTACTTATGTTCCGTCAAACTCAAATCGAGAATCGAATCTTTTAACACGTGAATCTCATGAATCGGTAACTACTCAACCAATGACAGCATCATTTCTCGGACCCTGTAACTAGCGCACCAAGCTATACCAGTCCATTCTATAGTTCAAAAATAAACTTTATTTATTTAGAATTAAAGATTAAAATCATTTGTGTCTGTATTGACTAATAAATGTTTGTGTTTCTTCCAGGTAGAACGTACGCCATGATATCAATGAAAGTGACGTTAGCACATTTCTTGAGACAGTACCGAGTGAAGGCAGACCTGAGCAATTTGAAGCTGAACTTCGATTTCTTGTTGAAACCCATTTCTGGACACGATATCAGTATTGAAAGTAGAAGAATATAAAACTTTGAAAAATTACATTTGTTTTTTCTGCAACACATCATCTTTGTTTAAAGTTTCTTTGGGATACATCGGTACCTACACGCATCATCTACTATTTAGGAAGAGGGGCTGGCTGGCTTCATAGACAGACAGACTTTTTTTATGAGGGAGGAAAATCAACCAATGACTACTCCCGCCTGGGTGAGGCGGGAGGGAGTGTCAGACTCTTACTGACTAAGAACCACCCCGTTCCTACCGCTGCACTTCGAGCCGGAGCCCCGGCAACCCGTCAAGTTCTCCACGGCTTCGTACCAGCCCTATTGGGCCCCATCTGTGATGGCTCTTTGAGGCGCGCGCCGAACGAGACGCGCCGTACGCTCGGTTCTGGTTCTGGTCGGGTCACCCGTGCTAGCCGTCCGCAGGCCCGTGCTCCGTGGCTGGAGATCATCTCGCGATCAGACAGACTGGATGAACAAATTCTGTACCAAGGGTTAGAACGCCTATTATTTACCTCATCATTTATGGATTTGTTATAGCATACCTAATAGTAATGAGCTGAGTGTGACATATTAAATGGTATAATATACATTATTAAACAATCGAGAAATCTGTAGTAACGTCATAAATGACTGAAAACACCTAAAAATAATTTTGTTAGAAATACATAACATACCATCACGCCTTTTATCCCCGAATGGGTAAGCAGAGGTGCACATTACAGCACTTAATGCCACCGTAACATAGTAATACCCACTTTTCACAGTTTATGTTATAAGTCCCATGTAATAGGGGGTGAGCCTATTGCCATATACCGGGCACATTTCCAGTCTCCGTGCTATTATTGAGGTTTTTTAAAAACCCAGTAATACTGAGCCCGACCCGGGAATCGAACCCGAGACCCCTTGCTCGGTAGTCGCACTTGCGACCACTTGGCCAACGAAGCAGCAGAAATACAATTCTGTTTAACAAAATTGTCAATTTCAGGAAAGAAATTTTTCCTGAAAGAAATATTATGTAACTATGTATAGAGGACATTTGAAATCTGAATAACATTTTCGTTATTTAGTTCTATTGTCCCACATGTGTAAATTTTGAAATAAAAAATATGATTACATACAAAAAATTACTTTTCAATGTTTTTTATTTACAGATAATAAAAACTTAAATAAAATAAATACTAACTGTTACTAAATATATACAACTAAGATAAAAATTAATTAAAATAAAAGTAAAAATAACTATTTATACAAAGCATCGAAAAGTTCGTCCGCATCGACATCAGTAGGGAAAGTATCCAGAATATAATATTACTTAAACATGTAAATGAACATGTGTGTGTATGTTCCTAAAAGACAAGTGATAAACATTCACTTATTTTATAAACTACTAGCAAACCGGGCGAACTCCGTTTCACCACCAGATGGCTTCGTTTTATGTAACATTTCGTTTGGTGATAAAAAGATGAAGATCTTTTTTTTGTTTTATATTTTATAAACCTCACGGAGCCCGAGACCTTTCCAACGAATGCAAAACCGTGGAAATCGGTTCGTGCGTTCTGGAGTTATAACGTCAGGAAGGAAAACCAGACTTATTTTTATATAGTAAATGTTTAAAATAAGCGATTTCGACTCCCTCTCTTTTAAAGTGAGAGTGAGTTTAAACTGCATCAAAACCGGTTCAGTTACATACAAACACATGTCATACATACATCAACTGAGAACCACCTTTTTCTCTAAGTCGGTTAAAACAATATTTACAACGTATGATTTATTATTCTATCAATAAACTGTCTTATTCAATCTTATTGTTTTGCCTTAGACACTTCATAAAATAAAATAAACATTTAAAGGTTATTGACATGTCCAAAAAAAGTAAAATAAGCCTTATTGTCTTCGGCAACAGTACTATTATAGATCGAAGTTTAATGTACTATATCATGAGTATTTTTTTTTATTGGGGGAAAAATCATCCAATGACTTCTACCGCCTGGATGATGCAGGAGGGAGTGTCAGACTCTTACTGACTAAAAACCACCCCGTTCCTTCTCCCGCACTTCGAGCCGGAGCCCCGGCAACCCGTTAAGTTCTCTGCGGTATATCATGAGTACTTATAGACGTGATTATTGGTAGGTAATCATGAAAAATTACTGCCTCGTTGGCCAAGTGGTCGCAACTGCGACTGCCGGGCAAGGGGTCTCGGGTTTGATTTCCGGGTCGGGTATCTAAAGTATTACTGAGCTTTACAAAAATACTCAGTAGTAGCACGGAGTCTGGAATTGTGCTCGGTATATGGCAATAGGCTCACCCCCTATTACATGGGACTCATAACATAAGTAGTCAAAAGTGAGTGTTACATTATACAGTGGCATTAAGTGCTGTAATGTACACCTCTGCGTATCCCTTCGGGGATAAAAGGCTTAATGTTATATTATGTTATGTTATGTTAAGTGTAATAATGAAAAAAATGTCTTATACATTTTTATTTACAAGTCTCAACTGCGGGTGTAAGTAGGTAAATAATTTTATGGTTACCCATCAAGGTGATAGGTAACAAATAAAATCAGTTCACATAACTTGAACATGACAGTTGTATTATTAACAACTGATAAAAACATGTCTTCAGTGATAATATTCTATTGTAAAATTAAAATATATTTCACCGACGACAGTATCAAAGCTTGACCATACACATACAAAAAAATTTCAACAATTTTTCATAATTCCAAGGTTATTTGATAGAATATAATACCGTGAATTGTTTAGAAGTTTTAGTAGTCTTTGAAATGCTTAGTGCTGTGCTTCTGTTTGTGGTGTGGTGCGCATGCGTGGTGCTGGTGAGGCGGCTGCGGTCGCGGCCAGCTCATCCGCTACCACCATCTTACCCTGGAAAGCTACCGATCTTGGGACATACACATTTGATTAGCGGTGATACTGAAAGTATGTGAACCTTTATTTGGATATTATGTGATGTTGCAATCAAGTAGTTTAATTCGCCTTAAAACCTAGTCTGTTTAGTAAACAGCTTCAATCAAATATCTACTTTTTGGGGTCACAGTTCTATCATAGCATATTCTATAATTCTAGCATTATAAGTAGCGACTTGAATGGGATATTTAGCCATTTAATTAAACATCTGGGCATTAATTAAGATAATTGACATTACTTTGCGGTTTAGGGACCTACTACTTATTGTTTATTATTTTCCATTAGACAAAAAATTCGTAAATATGTTAGATATTAAAATAGAAAAATAAAAAAAAAAATAATTTTTAAAGCTGATTGAAAAATATTGATCGAAAATTCATAATTTAAACTCTTGATTAATAATTTTTTTAGCTATTGTGCCTTGTATTTCATTTTACATGATATACTTATTTTGTCAACCTTTCTAGAAATGTGGGACATTTTGAAGGAAATGTCGGAGAAATGTGTAGAAAATGGTGGACTCCTACACGCCAAAATTGGAACACAAATATATTACTGTAAGTATATTTTATGAACGGTTAATTATCTTTTACTTGTATATTAAAAATAACATTACAATAAATACTTGCCTTGCTTTCAATTCAGGGAATATTTACACCGAAGAAGGAATTTGTATTTTTTGCATCAACGTAGTTTTTTTTATACCATGACAGTGGCAAAAAAGCACACGACCTACTTGATGGTAAGCGGTTACCGTGGCCTATGTACACCTGCAACACTTGGGGCATTACTTGCATCTTGCCGACCCTAAAGAAGTGTTTAAGTGTAGGAGAGACATGCTTCGCCACAAATGGGCCGGCTCGACCGGAGTGACACCATGGCCCCATAGAAAACCGACGTGAAGCAACGCTTGCGTTGCTTTACGTCGTGTGGGTGAGGCTACCGGAGGTCCAATTACCCTCCCCTTCCCCAATCTCCCCAATCCCTGAATCCCCAACGATCCTCAAACTCCTAATCCCCAAAAGGCCGGTAACGCACTTGTAACACCTCTGGTGTTCCGGGTGTCCGTGGGCGACGCCGATTGTTTACTATCAGGATAAAAAAAAGAAAAGAAATCTATACATTCCCCTCTTGAAGAACCCCATTTTTTATAATAAGTTTTTGGTCTGCCTCGCCTCGTGACGGACAGATGTGTGACGGCTGACTAAGGAGTCTCGGATTCAATTCTCTAGTGGGGTAAAGGTACACATTGTCTCCTTCTTATCCTTGGACAAAAAGGCGTACAGTTATGTTTCGATATGTTAAAAAAATACTAGACTGACGATTGAGTTTTCTAATTTCATTAACATAACACGCCTTTTTATCCCTGAAGGGGTAGGCAGAGACTATTTATGGTATGAGGCCCATGTAATAGGGGGTGAGCTTATTGCCATATACCGAGCACATTTCCAGACTCCGTGCTACTACTGAGATTTAAGAAAAATCAGTAATACTTTGCCCGACCCGGGAATCGAACCGAGACCTCTTGCCCGGCAGTCGCACTTGCGACCACTTGGCCAACGAGACAGTCATCTTTAGTTCTAATTTCTATTAACCAGCTCTTGTTTCTATGTGTAGTGGTGACGGATCCTGATGATGCGCTGACGGTGGTCAACAGCTGCCTCCACAAACATTTCATTTACGATTACGTGAGGACCTGGCTTGGCAATGGATTGCTTACGTCTTCAGGTTAGTTAGAATTAATTGTATTTAACAAATACACACAAAACTTCTTTATGAAAATGATTTTGTCGCATCTTTACTATTTTTTGATAACAGTTGACGCTGGTATTTCAGGAGTTCTAACTTATAGTTTAATCAGAACAACCTTAATTCACAAATGTATGTTCAACAACTGATAAACCGGTGTTTAAAGCATTTTGAAAAATTTCTTTAGCCCATACAACGTTGCTACCATCCGTGCGTCACTGCATGGGTATCCACTGAAAATCAGTGGGTGACTTGTATGCCTGGCTTACACTGAGTGGGTGACCCTTTTAGCATAGGCATGTTGTCAGGGTCTCTCTTCTAATTCTTCTGTTTTAATTTTTCAACTCTTATGTTTTTCTAACTTCCACTGTCACACCTTTATTTTCTTTTTTATATTTTATTTATGCTGCATCGTGCCTGGTGCTGAATAAATGTTTTTTTCTTTCTTTCTTCTGCAAACTAAAAATACTTCTTCAAATCTCAGGAGAATTTTGGCAACGACACCGCAAGCTCCTCAACCCAGCATTCACAGTGCCTGTGATCCACAATTTCCTCGGCGTCTTCAACTACATGTCGAAGCAGTTAGTCAGCGAGCTGGAGGTCCACGCAGACCAGGCACCCTTCGAGATATCTCCCCATTTGAGGATCATATCGTTCCAATCTTTTAGCCGTGAGTATTAATTATAAATTATGTTTTAACTGCCTCTGCAATCAAATTGTCGCAAGTATGACTCCTGGGCAAAGAGTCGAGTTTGATTCCTGGATCGGACTGGGTGAGAGATTTTGTAGGTTTTCTAAAAAACTTAGAAATTGAGAAGGATGAAATTTAAAACGAGAAACCATCTGATTTAAATTTAAAAGATTCACCATTTCCTTATTATATGAAACTAGCAAACCCGGCGAACTCCGTTTCGCCACCAGATGGCTGCGTTTTATTTAACATTTCGTTTAGTGATTAAAAGATGAAGAAAAATTATAAAAAAATCCTGAATTTTCTTTGCTATAAACCTCACAGAGCCCGAGTCCTTTCCAACGAATGCAAAACCGTGGAAATCGGTTCGTGCGTTCTGGAGTTATAGCATTAGGAAGGAAAACCCGACTTATTTTTATATAGTAGACTAATATAACATACCGACTGAAGAGAGTAACTTACATGGAATGGACTGTGGTCATCTCTGCCTAGTCCTTTGGAATTAACATAATTATAATGTCAAATCTGTAGTAACACGCTATTCTAACCCGTATATCCAAGCGGTCACCAGTGACTGCTCTCCACTAACTACATTATAGACCTAATTTCCAATGTTTAGAGACTACTTTTGTATGAAATATCATCAACAGATACTAACCTTATAAATGCAGAAATCTTAACAAAATTATTCAACTAGTCTATTATAATTATGACCTATCTTTGACCTGCAGAAACCGCATTCGGCATAGCAGATGACAACGTGAAAGAATTTGCAAAGAAGTATATGGAATCATTAGACCAGGTGATGAACTTGGTGGTGTACAGGTTCCAGAACTTCTTGCTACATAGTGACCTGATCTTTAAGCTGACTGGTTTGAAGAAGAAGCAAGACCGTTTGATTAAAACAATGGCTGATATGGCTAATCAGGTAAGTTATTTGATTTCATATCACACCAATAGGCTATAAATGCGCACTGATGACCAAAGGCCTCTCTCACACGGAGAAGGTTTAAGCAATAATCACCACGCTTGCTCAATACGGGTTAGCGATGTCAAACTTATAATGAGAAATTATAAGCCCAAGTTTCCTCACAATATTTTCCTTCACCGTTTATCAGTGATATCTAAATAATCTTAGAACGTACATATAACTCGGAAAAACTCACATTGGTACCTGCCGTTTAAGTTTCGAACTTCTTAAATCTCCGGGCCACCACGACATTTATCACTGGATTTATCATCATCGTAATATTAGACACAAAATGTTCATTGCAGAAGGTAGGGCTGGCTTTCCCAAGGACTCCTAGATTAGCCGGCAAATATTAGTATCGCATTTTTGTAAATTCTGAATAATAGCATAAGGTCTGGAATTATGCCTGGAGCATGGGACCCATAACATAGCTGATAAAAGGGAATATATACGACCTACATCAGTGCATATATATATATATAGGCATGGGACTTATGACATTGATGGTGAAAAGTGTTAACACCCACTTTGCCATTGTACAGTGGCATAATGTGCACCTCTGCCTACCCCTTAGAGGATAAAAGGCGTAATGTTATGTTATGATGTTATGTTATATCAGTGCATCGATAAGTAGTGTTCATACAAAAATCGTGACGTCTTACTGTGAGTTATAACTCCACGAGTATCATTAATTGAAATATTACTAACTCACGTAAAACAGTTCAAATGAGGTCAATTGATTTAGTATGTCTCACTATAGTTATTACCCACGACTGTCATTTACCACGATTTTCAGAAATGTGTCGTCAACAATTACCTTGACCACTACCATTATGAAAATATTCCTTTAATATGTAATTTCTTTAATATACTTATTCAAGTGCGTAGTAAAAATTTTAAAAAGTTTATGATAAATTCTAAAATAAAATACATCCTATTATTTTTTATGGCGCTTCATTATACTTATATTATACATTTGAAAAATTGGGTAATAGGGTACCTAAGTACCTGCTTAGTATTTTTGTTTATATAACTTTTCTTATGTCCAAGGTAATAGAGAGAAAAAAGGCTGAAATGAAATTGGCCAATGAGAAGAAAGCTAATGAATGGTCAACGACAAGTAAGTACGTTATAAATTCTATTTAAAAAGCTTTATATAGCCCATGTCTGTTTCTGCATGTCTTTAGAAGCAAGCAGAAGCAAGATTGATTGAGAGGATAGAGCACGAAGAATTTATATACACACTCTTTGGTGAAATTGAGTTGAATAAAGTAGATTCTGAGAATTCAGTTCTAAATTGGGATCGCTTCTTCATTCACAAAATTATATTTCCAGATACTAGATACAAGCCATTCATGAGCCTGTTATTGGAACTGAAGAATGACGATACTCTTACCGATGAGGAGATAAAAGAAGAAGTGGATACATTTATAGTAGCAGGCTTTGACACCACATCCAATTGTCTCACTTGTCTACTAGTCCTGCTTGGAACATACCCTGAAGTACAAGAAAAGATGTATAATGAGTGAGTATGAATTTGCCATTTTTACCATTGAGGAGTTGTTTCTTCGACGTATTAAAGAAGTGCAAACTTAAAAGTACCATTAACCGATGAGCATGCATGAAAAGATTGATGACTGTTGATGAAGCGAAAGAGGTATGTAAGATTCGTAGCAATTGGCGTTACATAGTCTCTGTTTACCAGGACAGGCGCGAGGTTATGTATGAGTTGATATCACGAGTTCATTCACTACGGATCGAACGTATCACCCGATCTTAAGCAATCTGCGCTACCCGCTACACTAGAGGATTTACAAGTGCGTTGCTCACCTATCGAGGAATTGGAATTTGTTTGAGAATAAGGGGGAAAGGGATGTAATTATGTGTATCGGACAACAGCTCTCAACAGGTCTCAGATTAACTTGAATTTTTTTTACTGCAATTTCCAAGGCACTTACTAAGCATGAAGAATACGATTAACAGTCTCTGGTAGAAGAGGCCTATGTAATCCAGGAGAGAGATCTCGTATTGTTAAAGATGATGATGACACTAATATTTATCACTCTTTCCAGAATAATAGAAGTTCTAGGTCCAGACAGGGATATTGAGAAGGATGATATCAAACGACTGGTTTACACTGAGGCTGTTATTAAAGAAGCTCTTAGGGTGATGCCTATTGGACCTGCCCTTCTAAGATATGTGGATAGAGATATTAAGCTTAGTAAGTATAATATTGAACGAAAAATGCCTAAAGTGACAATAAATACTTGTCTTAGTTAGTGTCCCTCGACCCGAGCGTACGGCGCGTCGCGTTCCGCGCGCACCTCAAAGAGCCATCAGACCACCACAGATGGGGCTCATTAGGGCCGATGCCGATTCGGAGTCGCGGAGAACCTAACGGGTAACCGGGGCTCCGGCTCGACGTGCAGGAGAAGGAACGGGGTGGTTTTTAGTCAGTAAGAGTCTGACACTCCCTTCCGCCTCACCCAGGCGGGAGCAGTCATTCGATGATTTTCCCCCCTTAAAAAAAAAAAAAAGTTAGTGTCCCTATTTGTGTCAAGCGCCATTTGTTTAAGATAGTTGAGAGTATAATATAGTTGTTCTGAATATTATCAAAGTCAAATTATTAGGTTTCTAAGTATTCATTCTTTTGAGCTATCACGGCTATAAGGAAATCTTAAAAGCATCCAGGAACTGAACACTAATTAAATGAAATGTAGGTACCTAATGTATGAGTGTTTCAGAAAACTACACAATGAGAGCAGACAGTCAGGTAGTGATCCTCGCTCGAGGGGCACACAGAAGTCCTATATTTGGTGACGATGTGGAGACATTCAGACCTGAACGATGGCTGGACTCCAGCGTATCAGCTTTGGGGAACAATGCTTTCTATGGATTTAGTTTAGGAAAACGATCGTGTATTGGTAAGTCATATGTATCGACAATTCTTTTCTTATCTTTACTTCTAATAACTTCGGGTTAGGCTCCTTGGGATAATAATATAGTATATCTGCTTTTCCATTACTCACTGGACCATCCAAGACTGCCTCGTTGGCCTAAGCGGTCGCAAGTGCGACTGTCGGGCAAGGGGTCTCGGGTTCGATTTCCGGGTCGGGCAAAGTATTACTAGGTTTTTAAAAAAATCTTAGTAGTAACACGGAGCCTGGAATTGTGCCCGGTATATGGCAATAGGCTCACCCCCTATTACATGGGACTCATAACATAAATAGTGAAAAGTGGGTGTTACATTGTACAGTGGCATAATGTGCACCTCTGCCTACTCCTTCGGGGATAAAAGGCTTGTTATGTTATTATGTTATGCTTTCCATCATTAACAGACACCTTTTTATCACAAAGTCCTTTCTTTCATGATATGATTCACAATCTTCATTTTCCCGATTAAATACCAACCTTTGCTTTGCTTTAAAACCAAATCTTCTATATAAGTATCGTGATGTCAAGGACGATGAAAAAACAGGCGGACATAGTCTCTTCAAACAACGACTGTGGCACCTGGCTACTATAGACTTACACGTAGAACATACACACATTGACACGAAGGACATCTGTCGCTTGATATGGCCCGCCATTACACTTTATATATTACGGTGTAGTAAATACACGCACACGTATATATTTTTAAGTGTGGGACAGTCATGCTTCGGCACGAATGGGCCGGCTCGACCGGAGTGATACCACGGCCTTACAAAAAACCGATGTGAAGCAACGCTTGCGTTGTGTTTCGTCGTATGAGTGAGGTTACCGGAGCCCAATTAACCTCCCCTTCTCCAATCTCCCCAATTCCTGAATCCCCAACGATCCTCAAACTCCTAATCCCCACAAGGCCGGTAACGCACTTGTAACGCCTCTGATGTTCCAGGTGTCTATGGGTGACGTCAATTGCTTACCATCAGGTGATCCGTCTGCTAGTTTGCCGGCTTATGCCATAAAAAAAACACCTGAATATACCACTGACATTTTGATCTTTACTCTTAATGAAATGATATTACGTCTGCCATTTTTGCAACATCCTTGTGTGATTCTGGGTGGTAAACATTTAAATTCTATATCATTTATTTGAAAATTAAAAAAGTATGACATGTTTAATAGAAAGTTCATCTTTCATTCCTCATAGGTAAAGCTTACGCAACGGTTTCAATGAAGACGACTCTCTCTCACCTCTTAAGGAAATATAAAATAATATCTAATGTAAACGACATGAGGTTCAGAGTCGATATGGTACTAAAAGCGACCACAGCACCGATACGCATAGTGAGAAGACAATAAAACATTATTATTAATTTAATAAAAAAGAAAAACGTTGACGGGAGATAGAATAAAAAAAATATGATATAAAATGTTTTATAAAATAAATTTTAGTGATGACGAATTTATTATTGGTTTTATTGTTTTTAACTGTTTAATTAGATATTCGTGTTAATGTAAATTTATGAAGCAAAATTAAATCGTTATTTTATATTGTTTCTTCTTTTAATTTTCTATTGATTTTGTATCTAATGTCAAGTTTGTGTCAACATTCTGAATCTGTCATTGTACACAAATAAAAAAATATACTTTTCGTATTATTAAAAAAAATCCTACTGCATTCAAAATCAAGGTCTAAATAATTTGTTTAATAAGTTGTCTTGCATAAATAATAATAATCTTCTCATTTTATGTACTTAGTTTAATAATTTTTGTATAAAATGTCAATTATTTGACGTCAAACTATTCAAAAGTGCAGCTCATGCTGTAGTACTTATAGTTCGTTAACTTTGTTAATGTGCAGTGTATCAGTATGAACAGATACTAGGATTTCTAATAGAAAATACCTAATTACACTTTACATTAAAACTGAATCCCCAACGATCCTCAAACTCCTAATCCCCAAAAAGCCGATAACGCAGTTGTAACGGCTCTGGTGTTCCAGGTGTCCATGGGCGACGCCGATTACTTACCATCATCATCATCTTATGATCCGTCTGCTGGTTTACCGGCTTATGCCATAAAGAAAATACAAAATAAATTATTATCGTATATTTAACAGAAAATATAAATATAACATTCTACAATAATCGTAAGAAAATAATTTAACGTTAATTCAAATTAAATTAAAAGAAATTTATTGAGCAATTTTTTCGTTTAATTTAAAAGTAATAAATAAATACTAATGTCCTAGTGACTTGGTGGTACTACATCTATAATAATAAATTATTGATTCACCTGACTGACTCCGAGTGACTCATTAAGTTAAATTAGTTACATTTACACAATGTAATTATAATTAAAAAAAATTGTTACGTTAATTTTATGAAATTTATATTAATTTTATAACAAAAATATTTTTTAAAGTAAATTAAACCTTATTTTAAGGTTTTTTAAAAGTATTATGAATCGAATCAAAGCCAGTCTACAGTTAGTTAGTACTTAATATTAAGAATAAATAACATGTGGCTACTAAACCTATGTTTTGGACGTAGCTGTCAGAACTATACTCCATAGTAAATGCAAAATGTAGGAATTAAATTAAATGCACTAAATGCCTTCGTACCTACATTACAGAAGACTTATGGCCGTTACCACCAACCACCCCTAAACAATCTCTTAGCTAAGAGTCAGTTAGCTTGAGGAAACGCGTAAATTAACTCCCTTTTTTATCTTTAGGTGTCACTTAAAGGTTAGTGAGACCCCAAATGTTATTAACTGACACGTATATTAGCTCAGGGATCTTTTTATATTTGATTTGTCGTTTGGCCTTCGATGGAGCACGTCGACCCATAAACAACCTATTCACTCGGGCCTTGAAGACACCTAGGTTATACCCTTCAAGAAACACAGACTCTGGAAAAGAATTCCACTCCTTGGGTTCTCTAAAATTTAAGGGAGGTTGGTAAAGACAGGCATCTAATACTTATGTTCCCAAACTGTCTTCTATCCTTTACTACATAAAGGTAACAGTGTGAGACAGAAGATATTTTTGAGTAAAATAAACATTGATCTAGTGTTCCGTAGATTCCAATCTACATCGAAGTTTTACGAAATATATATAACTAAGATATAAATAGAAAACATGGCTCATTTATAATTACAATAATTTAGATTTTATGTCTATCTAATTAAAATTATAAAAAAAAAATAAAATTCAGCACCTTTTGACATTGTGAAAAAAGAATAGCTTTGTGTGATTTTCTTTTTTGTTAATAACTGTTTATGTACATACATTTTTTTTGTTAATTTCCTTTAATTCACATTTTAATTTTAATATTTATAAAACATGTCATGAAAATAAAATGTTGTATTTTTTGTTTCATTCAACAAACGTAAATTCATTGAATATTTTCAACTCCTTGTGCATTTGTCTCATTCAATTCATGAATTAGAATAATGTCAAGAATGAATTAATTATTCTTACACGTATTAATTAATGAAATAATTTTGATTAAATAATTAATTCATTTTTAATTAATTCATTTTCTATTTTTATTGAAGTCTATGTCGCAGTTTGGATATGATATGAGACAGTCCTTCTGTTCCTGTCCATCACGGGCTGCCTGTACGTATCTGTAGTAGTTAATGGCCATCATGCTGTCTCCCGCTGGTACAAGCTCATTGGAGTCCCTGGAAAAAAGTAATAAGTATCATTATTAAATTATAAATATTGGCAATGTAACAAATATTAGACAACCCAGATACGTTAAGATGTTGATACGTTGTTATCGTATTTTTTCTTTTAAAAGCTGATTTAAATAATAATCCTTAAAGAAAGTTGTCTTTTTTAAAATAAATTTCGATTAATATTGTAAAATATAAATATATCTATAAATATTATAGGCGTCATTCAAAGTGAATTTAAATTAAAATCATTTATTATAATTATAATTAGACCAGAAAGGCACCTTTGAACGTCAATAAAAAATTAAAGTGAAGCTATTTGCTGTAAGGTAACATTAAGAATTTCGAAAAACATTAAATATTTTTTTTAAATTATGAAACTATGTATATTTCAAATCGAAATGACATATGTATCTGATTAACATAGTCTCCATGAAAGCAATCTCAAATTAATTATTATTTTCTCTAGATTAATATTTTTAATTTTCACTTCTCATTAAAAATTTGAACTCGTAAATTGATTATGAATACACAAATGATTAATAATTTAGATTAGCTATGTAATTATTAATCACAAATGGCATGTGTGATGAAACTTTTTAAAATCAATAATACTTTGGGAATGCTTTATACCTTCTATCAATATTTATGCCTACCGCTACTCCGGACTCAAACCGGTTGATTCTAAATGTTAAAATTATTCACTTAAAAAGGCCGAGGCAAAAAACGAAAGCGTTTGAAAGGTAGTAAAATTTTCCAGAATCGATTTGTATAAGAATTGGGGCAATAGATCGGTGAAACAGCGTATGTCAATATAACTATATCAAACAAGAAAAAAATAACCTGATTTAATGAAGCAAGTGAATATTCTTTTGGGAGATATTTGGAACTTTAGCAAGTGAATATTTGGACTGCCTCGTTGGCCGAGTGGTCGCAATTGCGACTGCCGGGCAAGGGGTCTCGGGTTCGAATCCCGGGTCAGGCAAATTATTGCTGGGTTTTTAAAAAATTCTCAGTAGTATCACGGGGTCTGGAATTGTGCCCGGTGTATGACAATAGGCTCACCTCCTTTTACATGGGAATCATAACATAAATAGTGAAAAATGGGTGTTACATTGTACAGCGGCATAATGTGCACCTCTGCGTACCTCTTTGGGGATAAAAGGCGTTATATTATAAATAAAGGAAAATATATTTGCAACTTGATTAAATAAATATGGAACTTAATTCACTTAGGGTCGATTTTTCAATCATAAAATAATTATTAACTGTAGAATGAAATTGACCTATGACAGGTCTTAGTATGGAATAATGATTATTGTGAAATATTCAAAGTTATAGTAACTCTTATGTAAGAGATGGCTTAAAAGTGGTTAATGAAAACGGTTAGAAGTCAACCTTTATCTATTTTGAGTTCTTCCCTGAAAATTTGGTAACATTAACTTTAAGCTCACGGAAGAACGAGGAGGAACTCATTTAAGGCATAACTTTGAATTCCAAATCATTTGGAATCAATGTCAAAATATAACTTGAATCACAAAATAATGTATAGGAATACAGAAAGAGGTTAATAACATTTTTTTAAACCTTTAACGATGTTTGAAACGGTAATGAGGCTTTACTTTTTAAGAGTATTAAAATCATGAATAAATAATTTAGTGAGAGATATTATAAGAATACTTTTTAATTAAGAAAAACTATGACTGCTGATGGGGATAGAATTGGAATAAATGAATTTAAGATTCATTTTGACAATTACCATTTTAGGTATATACCTATCTATCTATCTGGAAGTCATTGGGGGAGGCCTATGTTCAGCAGTGGATATCCTTTCGCTGATATAATGATGATGATAATTACGTGTAATACAAATCCCTCTTCACACACATGCCACTTTGAGAAATTAAACTTCAAGTTATTTTAGTTTGGTAAAAGACGTCCAAAAATATTCTTACAAAATAGTTACTTTGATTATTATTGTTAAGTAAATAGGTATATCCTCGAAACTCGTTCGCTTCGAAGACTTCTTGACGATCTGTAAATCATTACACCTCGTAATAGTCATGAACCATGACGAATGACGGATGGTAATGACACGTGCCGCGTCGATTACTGTCATTTTGCACAAATACTGTGTTTATGCGCACAGTGGAACAGTCGTGAGCAAATGGGGGACAATATTGATGGAGCAGCTGCTTGATATAATTATATGGAATGTGAATATGGAGGACAAATATTGAAATGAGTAATGGTATTGGACTCGTTTTCTGAAATATTTGTTCATTTTTAAGAGTGACAGTTAGAGACTGCCTCGCTGGCGGAGTAGTCGCAAGTGCGACTGCCGGACAAGGGGTCTCGGGTTCGATTCCCGGGTCGGGCAAAGTATTACTAGGTTTTTTTAAATCAATAGTAGCACGGAGTCTGGAATTGTGCCCGTTATTTATGGCAATAAGGGCACCCCCTATTAAATGGGAATCATAGCATAAAGAGTGAAAAGTGGGTGTTACAACATGTACAGTGGCATTAAGTACAGTAATATATTGTGCACCTGTCTACCTCTTCAGGGATTAAAAGCGTGACGTTATATTATGTTTAGTATGATTAGACTGTTTTATACTGATAAATGATAATTTAATACGTAATTATTTTTTATTATTAGAGAGGACGAAAGAAATATTCTACTCTAGATGCTTAACATCAAAATATATAATTCACTTGTTGAAAAATTATACTCATCAGTGTCTTGTCGGATAAAATAACACCAATTCTGGTAGCGGTCATACTAGGCCTAATTTCTCCTCGCCTTCACTTCACTGTATTTCTTTATTAAATCTACTTTAAGAACAATAATACTCACTTGCTGAGATGTCCAGAGACGAGGTTACTGTACGGCGTATGCTTGAAGGGGTCACCGTAAAGAGAGCACACGGCTCTCTCCCTGCAGCCAAGGTCGGTAGCACCCATCTGGCCTAGCAGTGCGTCTACATAGCCCACTAGTGCTCCATAGAACTTCTCTGCTGCTATCGTTTCCTGAAAGTCAAGTATAAAATTTATTCGTACATAGATCAGATTAAAACGTACTAAACGACGAGAAAATAGTCTTAACAATATTTCTAAAGTAAATCCATCAAAATTGCTAAAAATTGTAGACTTATATCATCATAGTTGCCATGACCCTAATAGCATCATGGCTTTAATAACACAATAATAATAAAATTATAATTATCAAAACTTTAGATATTTATTTTAAATCGAGTTGAGTATACTCTTTGCATAATAATGGGAGACGGTAAGTGTATATGCGAATTTTAGAATGCAATGATGAAAGGCTTTCTCTTATAAACATTCATAATAACTTTCAATACTGAGAAGAGAGTTGAAGTGCAAACAGTGTCTCCAATACACCGAGTGGTTTGAAGTACAAAATGAAATACATAAACAAATATTGTAATGAAAGCTTTCAAATATAGTAAGTCACAAGGATTCAAAAATTATAAGGAGTCACACAGTAGCCCTAAGAATTCGGAACTCCTTTTTTAAGAAGGGGAACACCATCTATTTACTAATCTTCCGCCATTGATGAGGCGAGAGAGTGTTACTCTTACTTAATTAAAACATCCCGTTCCTACTTCAGCTATGAGCTGGCGCCCCCGTAACCCTTTAGGTTGTCCGAAGATCTAAAAAGTCAGTGGTCATAAAATCCATTATTCACTCACTGGATCCTGTGCAGCCAATATCTGCTGCTGTTGTTTCACTAGTTCAGTTTCTGCCTTTATTCTGTTAGTCTCCTTCAGTTTGACTGCAGATACCCTTAGTATCTCATCCCTGACCGGAGAAGGAGGTGCTCGAGCCGCTATTGATGCTGCTCGAATCTGGAAATTAAAAAATAAATCATATAAATCATTTAATTGTTGAATAAAACTGTTTGTTAAGTAATCACTAATAACCTAAGCAAGCATAATTAATAGGACAACAATGTTAAGGATCGTATAGCTAGTATACCAAATGTTTTGACTACGTATGGCTAATTGCAATATAAAACAAAAACATTTCAAAAATTGTTGGAAGAATAACACCCGTGCTTAATCCAAATGAATCTGATTAGAAATAAATACTTCGTCGTCTGTTTTAGAAGACTCCTTGAAAGTACTGCTAAAGAATAGAAAACACATTAAATATAATAAATTCAGTAATAAAAATTCACAAGGTGTCTCTATTACCACTTATGGGATTAGAAAGCAAGGCATTTCTACTCCATGATAATTATTCACCACGTGTTTTTATTACTTAATCGATATTTTTGCCCTAATGATTTAAACATACACTTTCTACGCATACTTTGACCAAAAATTAATGATAGGGCGGACTACTGCACCGTAGGAATCTATATCGCTTTCATAACATAAAATTATCAAGTAGGTAATACAAAATAATAACTAGAGGGCTTTAGTACCAATGATATTGTGATCAGTCAACAACAATATCACCGCCTGTGGTAACCATCTGTCCGATTATGCTTCCTCAACGTTATAATGAGTATTTGCCACAATCTTTACGCTTTTCAAGTGATTTAGAAAGATCCCATTTGTTGGGCTGGGTGGCTCTCAACCAGATTCATAATACGTCTGTAATTTTCCATCACTTTTTTTATAAAACAGCGCTATAAAAATATTGAAGTAAAATTGAATAAAGGATTTCATGGAGAATTGCTAGTCGCTAGGTTCATTTTATATCACAACTTTATCATGAGATCAAATATTGCTACAGAACCAATCAAAGTTAATGCTTGAAGGTATAAAATTATGGGTGGTATACATTGGAACAGGTATCGACTCTGATGGCCTAGAATGTTAAATAAAAGAACCTGTTGCATCAAGTCGGTATGGATTAGATGATACAAGTGCTTTGATGGGCTGGTAACTTTGGTAGCTGTGATATTGTGATCAGAAGTAGGTATGGTAATGAGGATAAAAGTAGTAAGTGGCTAACTAGTAAAAGAAAAATGGAACAAAAACATAGTGTTATGTATCCTAGAAATAGAAAAGAACACCAGGCAGATAGTTGCAAAGATAAGATGACGATACAAAGAATAATAAGAATAGCAGGAAACACATAGACTAGGATAGCGCTAAGCCGAACAGAATGGAAAAAGATGGAGTAGGCCTTTGCCAAAGCTAGGGAAACAGACGAAGTTGTCGATGTCAACGACTCATCACAGTCCTTATTTTAAATTATTTTAAGTAATTATTTGGTCTGAATAAAGGCTTACATTATTATTATTTATCTAGTAAAAAATCAGGTTTACTCTGCAGCCCGCCCTTTCTAAACCAACAAGAAGAGTAGAACTGCCGTCCGTTAACATAAAGGGCGCAAAGCCACAAAATCAAATTTTGAGATATGAGTGAAAAACGCGGTAAATATTTCAAAACTATGCCACTTGAAAACCATTGGTCGTAAAACATTATATTAAACGTTCAAAGATAGCTTTTTAAATTTACAAACTAATAGCCATAACCTTGTTTAAATACAATTTGTTTTAAATAGAAAAAAACACCTTTTCCCTTTCAGCAGTGCATAACTTGGTTATTTTTAAATAAATACTTACCTAAAAAGGCACTAAGTACACCTCAGCGACTTTATAGCTTATGATTTCGACATACTTGAAGTGTTTTATTTTTGTGTACAAAAACTATTCAAAATTACTTAGCTAAAAAGGCATTTAGTTACTTAGCGGCTTTATATTTATGTATTTCCGATTTCCATTTAGTATTCAGTCTTAGCTATATTACAACTATAGTATTTTAGTGTCCATATAGGTAAGTTTTTTGAATTTAGTGTCTTTTTAGGAACATTTTCTTTCATACTTACTACGCTTAAAGGTCGTTAACCGTTAAAACTTTTATCTTAACTGCTTTTTAGTTATGCATTAAGGACTGAATATTCGAAAACAAAAACCAAAATATTTTCAATTCGTTTATTAACATTTTATAAAACTTAAAAATAAGAGGATATTTAAAACATAAAATGAGATCCTGGCTTGGAAAATTAAAACACCTGAATAAAAATTAACAAAACCTTTCAAAACAATTAAACAAAATTATTATGAATATTTGACATTTTTAATGTCTAACGTTATATTCTAAATCAATTATTACTTAAAATTAAAAAATGGCACTTGAATCAGTCTTTTAGTTACTTAATTATATATTATTTGTCAGTCTCATTTGTATTTCCTACATCAATTACTGGTAAATTGTTCCAAAATGTTAGTTTGTGTGGAGGAATTATGGCAGCTAACTTATCTATGATGGTAGATTTTCTCGAAGAGTCAATCCCTTTTGGTGTTGAACGATAAGAAATACTCATGATATGAGGACTTTTCAGGTATTTATCGTTCATGAAACGCAATGCAGTAAATTCGTCGTCGTCGAAGTTATTTTTATAATAAAGGTCAAAATCGTTTCGTTTAAATGTTACCTGTACCATGTTTTTTAAATATGCTCTAGGGTTGGATTTTTGAATACGCCTATCTGATATCAAATTTGGAATGTTTATGAAGTTTTCTGGTTTGAGAGACTGTACTATTACTTTGCTGTTATTAATGGACAATCGACCGGCATTAAATGACAGTTTTTAGATGACATGCAGTCGGAATTGTTAATTATACTCTTGTGTATTGCTTCATTGACAGTATCAAGTCTTTTCTTTGACAAAATAATATTATAAATGGTTTTGACGGTTGCTGTAGCTGGAGAGGTGCATGTCTGGCTGATGTTGATGCCTGTAAGTTACTTTTGACCAAAACCTTTTGACTTGAAGATGTAGTGGAAAAGTCTTCATCAGAATCATCACTTGAGTTGGGAACATAGTCCTTGTCGCGAACTGAGTCATCAGAATCGAAATCAAGGGATAACTGACTATTTAATTTTGGCAATGGTGATTCTGGCATAAAACTATTGGTAAAGTGTGCAGCCGGACTTCTTAAATTATTAGTTTCACACAGTTGTTGTTCTTCAGATATAGACGGCATTTTTTCATAACAAGTCAAATCCTTGAGTTCAAGCATACGTGGTTTACTTGGTGAAGGTAATGATTCACAGGCGGTATTACGTGAAGAAAAGGTCTCGTTCAAGTTATCTACATGTATTGCTAGATCTTGAAGGTAGTGAGAACGTAATGTGGTTTGAGTCTCGCAGAATTTGTCAAACACTTGGGAAGTCATGGAGTATGGCCGTGCGTAAAGTTTATTCATTGTCTTTTCAATTTTTGTATCCACTTTTATTTTCGTTGTTTCTTTGCTGTCATGTGATGTCGAAATTGTGGTAACACAATTATTTTCAGCACCTACCATATTAAGTATTGCTTTTGCTCGTGATGAAAACACTGATCTTCTGGATCTGTTAAAAAAAAACATGCTAAAATGTAGATGGACACACCGAGCGACAGATAAAGCTCAAACTCGTTAGTCTGATCTGGTCAATGTTCACGCCAATGAAATGATCTAGCTATAAACTAACCATCACTTTATTATTATGGCAAATTTGAAACTGTATAATGTATATATAAACGATGTTTTAAGAACAAATATCTATATTTTTCATTTATTTCTGTGCACACAATACACCTAAAGAAAGAGAAACTTAAACCAATAACAAGTTCAAAGTATCATATTCACGTTTTGGCCATGCGATATTCGAATCCTTAACCTTTGAGTACGTAGTCTGGACCGCCAGATCGGCATAGGACGCAGACATAATAATAAGCCAGCAAAATAAAATAGCCCAATTTGAATAATTCCGTCTACTATAAGCTGCCTAATCAATAATTAACTTACATCTAAGATCATGCAAAAATTATGGCGGCAAACCCACGGTCGACCGCGATAGCTATTTGGTAGGTAAGTAGGTATTTGGCATGGCGCATGGTAGAACGTTATAAACGTCTTCGTTCCCGGGCACCATTTTGAAGCTTTGCGCTTATGAGACCCATAAATTATTTATTTACTGCAATAACTACTTTAAAATAGTATTTACTTACCTGGGTATTTGGTCAGTCATTGTAAATATGGCGGGAAACCTTCCGCTCCACGAATGACACGCGAAGACGACGATAGAGACTAGGGCCACAACTGCGCGGGGGTGAGAGGCGAGAGCACGTAGCGTCTTTTTAGCCAAGTATTTTGGCTTAGTGTCTTTTTAACGGAGTATTTATACCATATAATGAGTAACTAAAGGTGGTTAGAGGTGTAAGAAAAGTATTTCTTGATTATTATTGTACGAGTCCTATGCTAAAACGTCGTTAGTAGATGTTAACGTCCTTCTAGTGTAGTAATATTATTAAACGCCTTTTTAGCTAGGGATATTTATAGAAACTAATAAACTGTTTCTTGGCTTAAAAGTAATTAAAGTATCTTTAAGACTTTTTAGTGTAGCAGCGTCGAAAAAACGTCTTTTTTGCCAAGCAAAACTTAGGAAAAATATTGAAAATTATGGCGTTAAGGGTTACATGTGCCCTTTTAGTTAAATAAGGATGGTTAACGTACTTTAAGTTACGTAAACTATTATTATTTTAGTGTTTAACGTCCTTTTCGTAAAAATTATTTCAAAAAGTATAAATGTTAAAAATATAACACTTAGACAGATCGATAGAGAATTTTTTTCTACATACAATGGCGCTGAAAGCTCAAAATCGACCCTCTGAGGGTTAACGTCTTTCTTGTTAATGGACGGCAGAGAAGCGGTGGCTAAATAGTTATAGGTGTTGCTATTTAAAAAAAAATTACTTACCAATGCCTCCTTTTCAGCTAGAAGCGGATCTTTCTGCGTTACTTTTTTATTTGCTCGATAGTACGGATTCGGAGGTCCCACGGGTCTGAAAATTAAAAAAAAATCATTACCGCCGTTCATTTGTTGAAACACAATTTTTCTTCAACTGTTTTCTTTTTTGAATCAAATTGTACAGCTGCTTGTTTCCCAAGTGTTAAATAATACAATGATGAATGAAGAAGATGAAAGAGTTTAAATGATTCAAAAAAGAGAGGATGTCCATACGTGAATAAATTAAATGTGGATGTTTAAATACGAATATATATATTAGAACTATCAAACTAAATACTCATGGATTGTTAGAAATAATATGAAAGAAAATTAAACACGAAGTGCCGATCACTTCGAGATGGTTCCAACGAGATATAAAAGTAAACTTTCATCTCAACTGTGTAAGTAACATCAGGGATAACGTCATTCATAGAAAACAACTGTTCAATTTGACAACCATATTTGACTCATCCTAATTTCATTTTCGTTCATGTCCTATAGAAATGCATATATTATTAAAATTTTACATTAATTTCCTTTTATATTTACCGTAAGTATCATCTTTATGATCAACAAAATTATATTTGTTATTATCTTCATCTAAAATCATATTTAGTGTAGGATGTTCTGCCATAAAAGTAATTGTTATGGTTACCTTAAAAACATCTAAAGCTATTTCCCTTTTTAGCATATTTGGGTCAGACGTTTCTGTGTTCTGAGTCATAACATTATCTGGGTCGTCGAGCAAAATAGCTATGTATATTAGATCTTTATTCTACTTTCCACAAATCACAACATTTTGATAAAGGTATATTATCTATCTACCTATATATATAACAATGAAACCCGTATCCCGTTGTCACGCCATAACTTTAGAAAGGCGAGACCGATTTGGCTATTTTTTTAAATTGTGGTTGTGATAGTCAGGAGAAGGTTCTTATAAGAGAAAAAATATCCTGGAAATCCTAGGGAACGGGAGAAAACGGGATTGGGCGTACGAAGTCGCGGGCATAAGCCAGTACTTGATACAATCGTAGAGCACATAATCATTTACTTTCTTATTTAGTATTCCGATGACTACGTGTTAATCTTTTAGCAATCCGAAGACTAATTCTCTAAAAGAGAAAAAAAGCTAAAAGAGGATAAAGCCTCCAGTGCTAAAAGAGGCCAAAGTAGCTTTTTTAGGCTGTACTTACTTAGCTTATTTTTATTTCTTGCATGATTTGATTAGTTCAATGTCAACTCTTACCTCCCAGTATTAGCGACGACTACTCTTTGAGGTACAGAAGCTGATGCTGCTACAGTTTGTGCTATGTTGTTACTCGCTGCGATCTCACCCACATTCGATGGTCCTAAGGAAAAAAAAATAGAACTTTAAAGAGATTTATTGAATCTATTGAATTTATATCCAGTTCTTCTGGATTTCCGAACCGATCAACTGCGGTGTGTACTGTGCTGCGGTGGCTGGACAACCGGCTGCCGTGCAACGTGTCGCGGGTTTAATTCTCGCACGGAACAACACTTTGTGTGATCCACAAATTGTTGTTTCGGGTCTGGGTGTCATTGTGTATGTGAACTTGTATGTTTGTAAACCCACGACACAGGAGAAAATCGTAATCGTACGTTTTACATTACTTTTACATGATCCACGCATTTTGTCTGACTGTATGATTCCTCAATTTTTGTTTTCGAGTAAAGAGTATATTTTATAACATTGATTGACTTACCTGGTGGCATGCCAAGTCCCCATGCGTTTATGTCGTTAGCGTCATTCAGTGTCGGTTTGAAGTTTGATATCGCGTTTCGATGGATATCACCAATGATATAGCTGGAGAGGATAATCAAACATTAGTAATGAATAATTATTATGTTTTAAAAGAAAGATCTTACGGCGCTTACTGCAAATGTTTTAGAAAATCAATACCTACAAATACTTGTCAAGTATTTAAGAACTATGTTCCATTTTTTATGGAATAGGAGGCAAACGAGCAGACGGATCACCTGATGGTAAGTGATCAGCGCCGCCCATGGACACTCGCAACACCAGTGGAGTCACAGGTGCATTGCCGGCCTTTTAAAAAAGAATACGCTCTTTTCTTACAGCTTTGAAGATTGTATAGATTCGGAAATACCGCCGACGACAGATCATTCCACAATTTTGCTGTGCGAGGCAGAAAGCTACGTGAAAAGCGCACAGTTGTGGCCTGCCAACCATCAATATGATGGGGATGCATATATATGCAGTCGTTAATGTTCAGCAGTGGATGCCTTTTGGCTGATATGATGATGAAGATTAACTTTAGTTATTTATTTCTCGTACGCAATAATTCTTCGAAATTACAGCCTACATAGAGACGCCATCAAAGATGTTCTTAATTTTCTTAACACTTCAGTATTATGACCTTCAATTTGTTATTGATTAACGGTCAATTAAAACCCACTTTAGGCTGAAGTTCTCAAGGCTCTATAGCTTTCTCTCTACCCATATAATAAATGATGTTGCTACCAAATGCCATAAAATACGAACGAAAAAAAAGATATATTAATTTATTAAAACTACGTATCGTAATAGGTGAAATTTAATTGATTTTAAATATTAATATGTTTATCAAAATGCTAAAATGTTTTGGTAAAAACGATAACGTTATATAACACTGGTAATATTTGAACTGTGTTGTATAAAAATGTCGTGGTAAACAAGTTTTAACAAGAATAACTTCTGTAGAAACTTTCAAGCTGTTGTAAAGCAAAACTTGAACATATAACAGCATCAGTCTTTTCTCAATTAGACATTTATAAAACCAATTAAAGTTTGAAATTCTTAGTAAGTTTGAACCTTCTACATTTACTATAGTTTACTGGGGTACCTACTCCAAATGTTCGCGAACGGACACCGTCGATTGGAACTGGTCAGCTCCGGACTGTATCATTTCATTTTATTATCCTCAAGATTATTTTCTTTTTCAGTCTTTTTGACTGGATTTGGGTTTGCATTGTTCTCACATAATCGAACCAATAAAACTATGTAACTAGAGAATTGTATTGTAGACCTGATTGAAAAAGAGTAACCTATGGAGTTTCTTGCTCGTTCTTCTCCATAGGAATCTACGCCTTGGAATGCTTGGAATGAGCAACTAGCTTCACTTATAAATTTTTGTTGTTTGACGTTCAAAAGTGCCACCTTGGTCTAAATGAAATAAATGATTTTGACTTTGACTATATCTTCCTTATTATCATAGTACTTACTCAGTGCCAAGTGGAGCTCCAGAAAGTGGCCAGTTCTCGCTCTCGAAATGTTCTGAGACTGGAGGTGGACCAGCGCTGTGAGGTCGCACCACTATTGTTGATGGATGCGATGCATGGCCACCGTAGGGCTGGTGATGAGGTCCCTGAGAATATAAATATTGTCAGAGTAGAGAAAGATGATGAAAACCAAGGTATTAGTTACTGCATATGGAAAAGTAGCTTTCTATATGCAAATATAGCCTTTTATGCCACGACGGTGACAAAAACAGCACCCGGCCCATCTGATAGTAAGCGGTTACAGTGGTCTATGTACGCTTGCTACACTTGTGACATTACATCGTGGACCTTTCCGACCCTTAAAAACCTTTAGTACCTTCTTCAAGAAACCCATATTGTAGCCTCCTAGTGAAATCATAGCAGAGAGTTCATTCCACAGTCGGAGAGTCCGTGGGAGGTAATTCCTCTGAAACCGAACTGTACGAGGTTCCCTAATTCTACATTATAGGGAGTTTAATTTTTTTTTAAACAACGAATCTCTCCAACATTCCAGAATTTGAATTTGAATTGAGAACGACGACGTTACACGCATTCTTTTTTAGATACCTCTGTATTGTTTAGGACGATTACTTATTATACAATTGGAATATTTCTTACAATAATGATTAATGTACCTATAAGCGACGAATATTTAATTAATAGTATCCTCTTTCCTTCATAGCTTGTACATATATTAACTTCAACAGGAAGTTTTTAAGTACTTCTAAATAGAATATAGGAAAGTTGTCCATTGAAATTTACGTGTATCTAATCATAGACGCTACGGATGCCTAAACATTGCGTGTTCCGTGTTAAAATTACTAACTTACTGAGTAACAAAAATTGTAATGATTATCTATAAAATGATGAGTCTATTTAACGTAATAGTGGTTAAGATGAAGGTGGAAAGAATATTACACATTGCTATTAATACGTTCAGTGAAGAGAATGATCAAGTGCAAATAGTCATGTTTAATCGTAATTGTTTAAACTTCGTCAACAAATCTATACTACAAATTACATAAACGAAATTGTATTCGAACTGTTGAACTGCAATTAAATGTTAACACTCAAAACAAGATAATATTATTAATATATAAACGGAAGGTAATTTTACTGAAGACTACATGACAACAGCCCACGCTGATATCGTGGGAATCAACGCATAATAAATACTTCATAGTACAAGCAAAGGTCACGTTCATTGACTTTTTGGACATTTTAAAAACTACTTTCAATACGAAATGAAATAAATATGGATAGCATGATGAGAAACACGCGATTTTTGATTGGCATGATAAAAACTATGTTGATGCACGACATGGCAAAAAATTATGGACAATGTTCCGTGATTTAAATCGATTCGCTGATGCCAATGTGCAGTCATGTAATAAGTTAGATAATAGTAGGTAATGATTGTTGATTATAGTTTTAAAGCATTTAGCTTCACACATTGAATATCTGATGGACAAGCCCATTTATTATTGTTCAGCTATATTTTTAATAGTAGTTTAAGAGACATTTCTGTTATAAGTGTTATAAGTAAAAATATATTTTTTTTAGTATACAAGTTTATTTTCGAAATACACAACGGGGTAGATAAAATAGAAAGAATTGTTGAGTATTGCCTCAAGGTGGACATAATACTGACGGAACTGGGGACGTTAGGGGACGGACTAGTTAAATCTGGAAGCAATATTGCAGCCTCATAGAAAGCCGACGTGAAACAACGTTTGTGTTGTTTTTTATCGTGTGAATGAGGTTACCGGAAGCCCAATTACCCCCCTCCCTAGTCTCCCTAAACCCCCGAATCTTGGGCGCCGAACTTGTTGCGGCGTCCTGCTCGGACGCTGCTCATGTCACAGAGGGTCATGGCGATCCGAATGATCCGCGGATACCGCACGATCTCCGGGGAGTCGGCGAACCTCCTTGCCGGGTCACCGCCGTGGGATCTGGAGGCGAAGGTGCTCGCGCGCGTGTATCGCATACGCGCGGAGGCACGTCGCCGGGGCGAAACTCCTCTGCCGTGCCAGATAAGTGCGTGGCGGGATGAGCTCCGGCGCGATCTCATGGCGGAATGGCAGCAACGACTGTCGCAACCGAGGGCTGGGCTCGCTGCCATTGCAGCGGTAAGACCCCTCTTTGAGGAGTGGCTTGAAAGACGCTACGGCGTCCTCACCTACCGCCTGACGCAGGTCCTCACCGGACATGGAAGTTTCGGGAGATACCTGTGTCTGATGGGGCGGGAGGAAACGCCCGGGTGTTATCACTGCGAGGACCGCCCTGAGGACACGGTGGAACACACCGTAGCGGAATGCCCTGCGTGGGCTGAGCACCGCCGTGCCCTCAGGGAAGTGATCGGCGATGGCGACCTCTTGCGTCCGGGCCTAGTGCAGGCCATGATGCGGAGCGAGGGGGACTGGGATGCCGTCTCCTCCTTTTGCGAAGCAGTCATGCTAGCTAAGGAGGAGGCGGGACGCGTGAGGCAGCGAAACGCTGCCTCCTCGCAACCCAGCCATCGCGAAGGACACACCGGGCGTCGGGAATCGCGGGACGATCTCCGGCCACCGTAAGCGCGGGCCTGCGGACGGCGAGCATGGGTGGCTCCCCGTCCGACCAGAAACAGACCCGAGCGTACGGCGCGTCGCGTTCCGCGCGCGCCTCAAAGAGCCATCAGACCACCACAGATGGGGCCCAATAGGGCCGATGCCGATTCGGAGTCGCGAAGAACCTAACGGGTAACCGGGGCTCCGGCTTGACGTGCAGGAGAAGGAACGGGGTGGTTTTTAGTCAGTAAGAGTCTGACACTCCCTTCCGCCTCACGCAGGCGGGAGCAGTCATTCGATGATTTTCCCCCCAAAAAAAAAAAAAACCCCCGAATTTCGAAATTCTCATTATAGATTTTGACGAGATCAGTCTTGTTAATGGCAATATCCAAAAGCATCTAATAATACGTATTCGTATACGTTTTAGTAATGATATAGACAAACCTTATGATGATGAGTAATCAAGTGATGATGATGGTGATACTTCGTCGTGTGATAGTTCTGGTGGTACCAAGAGCAAAGCTTGAAGATATGACTCAGTGCTGGGAAGACGAATAGCAGGAGTTTGAGGAACATTTTCTTCGCAGTCGTCACTCCCATGATCAAAGGTAAAACGAAGACTAATTTCAATGCAATCAGTTTAATGACTAAGATGATTGCTATGGCCGCTGTAATTAGCTTCTTCTTTATGTATTTTTCTGTAACAAAGATTAGAAATTATAATATGGTCAACATTTTTGACGTGGATTACAAGGAACTAAAGTGCTCTGTAATTTGGTATTTCAATAGAACTTTTATGTCTAACGTCTAATTTATTATAGTCTAGATATGAGTAATGTTCTAATTCTCATATACCTACTTATTTTACTTTTTAAGCACTGATCCAACTGTTCATTCTTCGGGTCTGTTTTGCAACTTGTTTTTATTGTATGCTCGCATACAACATAAATGACTGAGAATATACCTACAGTTATCCAAAAATCGAATAATGTTATTGGTATTGGTTACTTACTTATCTTCTTAAAAAACAACCTCCCCTCTCCATTGCTCTCCTGTGGCTCCAGATCTATATGTACCAGAGCTCCAGTCTTTGTCAGCGCCCTGGGGGACACCCTCAACGTCGCTCCTTTGAAGAACATCTCAGGGAGAGTCAGCTTCATGTCATGTGTTACCAGGAACTTGACACTCTTGTCATATAGGGCGTCCGTAATTTCTTCAAAAGGAGATTCTGGAACAAAAACATTGGTTAGACTTTGATTTTGAAGTGAATGCTATGAGAACAGAGATGTCACAATAACAACAGAATGAAAACTATAAGAGAAGTTCTTTCTTCAAGTTGTGGTAAGTATATAAACGTAACTGATAGTGTTATAGAATCCTTTACTTCTATTTTGAAAATGGAAACAACACTAGTTATAGAACTACTAACTTTTACTCGCGGCTTCGCTCGCGTCGCAAAAGGATAAAAAGTAGCCTATGTGACATACACCAATACATATAGCGCCATCTATACCAATACTTTTGTTTTCCCTCAGGAATATCAATCTTTTCCGGAAAAAAAGTACCCTATTATTTAATCCGGACTTCTAACTTTACATAACATAACATCACGCCTTTTATCCTCAAAGGGGTAGGCAGAGGTGCACATTATACCACTGTACAATGTAATACCCACTTTTCACTATTTATGTTATGAGTCCCATGTAATAGGGGGTGAGCCTATTGTTCTAACTTTACGTCTGCGAAAATTCAAAGCAATCGGTTTAGTAGTTACGGCGTGAAAGCGGAACAAACAAACAAACACACAACTTTCCGATTTATAATATTAGTAAGGATACCTGAAGACAACGTACCAAACGTAAGTGTATCTACGGAAACAAATTAACCACCGCAATTAATAACCGGTCTTACTCTAAAATTTCTGGATTGATCTAGTTTTTTAATAGGAACTGAATAGAAATAATACCGTAACTATTATTCGTCTACATACCGATCAAAAACAAACAAAGCATGATGAAGTAATTCAACAATAAGCTCATTAGCCGTAACTTCACTATTATCATTTAAACAGTTCACACCTTACACACAGACTCACCTACTATTACCAGACAATTGTTACACTGTAGGGGAAATTGTATCATGTTGTAATTTGCCATAACGTTTCACCATTTCCCATTTCTCGATCGAACTTTTCCTAGCAACTACAATGGCATCAGATATTTCTCAAGAATTATGATACAATATCAATTTCTCTTCCGAAGTCACGTAGTGTTGATTGTGATTGCAATTTATTGAATTTTAATAATGGATTAGAAAATATTTTTGTAAGTATGGACCATCATTTTAATCCTGGTGTTTAAAACTGTTTTCTTTACAAAGATGATTCATTATTGCGTAACTGCTATTAGTCAACATAACATAACATAATATCACGCCTTTTATCCCCGACGGGGTAGGTAGTAGGTAGTACATTATTCCACTGTACAATGCAACACCTACTTTTCACTATTTATGTTATGAGTCTTATGTAATAGAGGGTGAGCCTATTGCCATATACCGGACACAATTCCAGGCTCCGTGCTACTACTGAGAATTTATAAAAACTCAGTGGTACTTTGCCCGATCCGGGCATCGAACCGTCTTTGTCATCAATAATCAAGGAAATCAATGATGATTTATTTGTTATAGAAAGAAAATATCTCTTATTAAAACACTAGCGTTGAATACCGCTACTCAATTTTAAGTCACACTTATAGTTCTGTTACTATAGATTCTTTGTAATATGACAGAGATCGCACGATATTTAATTACAATTTAAAAATGAGTCATCATCAATAGCCTATAAGTCCTCACTGCTGAGCAAAGCCTCTTCTCACACGGAAAAGGTTTGAGCATTAATCACCACGCTTGCTCAATGCGGGTTGGCGATTTCAAACTTATAATTAGAAATTATAAGCCCAGGTTTCGTCACGATGTTTTCCTTCACCGTTTGTCAGTGGTGTCTAAATAATCATAGAAAGTACATATAACTCGGAAACAGTTACATTGGTACTTGCCGTTGGTAGGTTTCGAAGCAGCACCCTCATGTATTAGAAGTGCGTCATAAACCTCCGGGACACCACGACGTTTTATTAAAAATGAGTAACCTTTCAGTATGCTGCGTTTAAGCGCATCCTCCCCAGGGGGCCAAACGCCTCCTGCCGGAGGTTATACGCCGGGGTCGTGCGGTCCATGGCCCTCTACGGCGCCCCTGTTTGGGCGCCGAACTTGTTGCGGCGTCCTGCTTGGACGCTGCTCATGTCACAGAGAGTCATGGCGATCCGAATGATCCGCGGATACCGCACGATCTCCGGGGAGTCGGCGAACCTCCTTGCCGGATCACCGCCGTGGGATCTGGAGGCGAAGGTGCTCGCGCGCGTGTATCGCATGCGCGCGGAGGCACGTCGCCGGGGCGAAACTCCTCTGCCGCGCCAGATAAGTGCGTGGTGGGATGAGCTCCGGCGCGATCTCATGGCGGAATGGCAGCAACGACTGTCGCAACCGAGGGCTGGGCTCGCTGCCATTGCAGCGGTAAGACCCCTCTTTGAGGAGTGGCTTGAGAGACGCTACGGCGTCCTCACCTACCGCCTGACGCAGGTCCTCACCGGACATGGAAGTTTCGGGAGGTACCTGTGTCTGATGGGGCGGGAGGAAACGCCGGGTGTCATCACTGCGAGGACCGCCCTGAGGACACGGTGGAACACACAGTGGGAGAATGCCCTGCGTGGGCTGAGCACCGCCGTGCCCTCAGGGAAGTGATCGGCGATGGCGACCTCTCGCGTCCGGGCCTAGTGCAGGCCATGATGCGGAGCGAGAGGGACTGGGATGCCGTCTCCTCCTTTTGCGAAACAGTCATGCTAGCTAAGGAGGAGGCGGGACGCGTGAGGCAGCGAAGCGCTGCCTCCTCGCAACCCAGCCATCGCGAAGGACACACCGGGCGTCGGGGATCGCGGGACGATCTCCGGCCACCGTAAGCGCGGGCCTGCGGACGGCGAGCATGGGTGGCTCCCCGTCCGACCAGAAACAGACCCGAGCGTACGGCGCGTCGCGTTCCGCGCGCGCCTCAAAGAGCCATCAGACCACCACAGATGGGGCCCAATAGGACCGATGCCGATTCGGAGTCGCGGAGAACCTAACGGGTAACCGGGGCTCCGGCTCGACGTGCAGGAGAAGGAACGGGGTGGTTTTTAGTCAGTAAGAGTCTGACACTCCCTTCCGCCTCACCCAGGCGGGAGCAGTCATTCGATGATTTTCCCCCCTTAAAAAAAAAAAACCTTTCAGTATAGCGAGTAGGCTAACAAAACATGGGAATGTTTTTATTTAAAGTCAATTAAAAATCACTAGTAAAAGCTTGTTTGTACACTTTCCTATATAAAACAGAACTCACACGCCCTACTCACATAGATGTCCCATTACAAAACACTATCGCTCGTTGCGTGTTACGATGGCTGCCCATAGAATAATAAATTCAACGCGTTACAATATAATCGAGTGTAATAACGAGCCATTTATTTGTCTGTCGTGTTGTTTGTTGAGGTTTATTATTTGATTTGTTATCGTTGTTATGTGTAATGGAGAAGTTTATGAGATTTCGATATTTTTGAAGATTTTTAAGGGTTTTGTGACGTAGATTTGGTTTTAGCACTTAGGTGAGTAAACATAACAACACGTCTTTACCCCCAAAGGGGTAGGCAAAGGTGGCTACGGCACTTAATGCCACTGTACAATATAACACCCACTTTTCACTATTTTTATGAGTCATGAGTCCTAAGTTATGAGTCCCATGTAATAGGGGTGAGCCTATTGCCATATACCGGACACAATTCCAGACTCCGTGCTACAACTAAGACTCTTTTTTAAAATTCAGTAATACTTTGCCCGACCCGGGAATCGAATCTCGAACCCGAGACCCCTTATCCAGTCGCACTTGCGACCACTCGGCCAACGAGGCAGTCGGACTTAGATTAGTGTTAAGTCAAAATCAATAAGCATTTATTTTAACAGGTACTTTTGAAATGTCAAACAAGTTTCAAATAGTTGTAGTGGGTCCCCAAAATTCTCACCAATAGATTTGTTCCTTATTTTTTTGGTACATGTAAATAATTAAAGAAAAGACCCTGCTAACAACTGTTGTTAATAATATTAACAAAACTTGTAATATAATTCATGACCGACCTAATGTAGGGCAACATTATTATTAAATAAACAAAGAAAGATCACTAGGTACTAGTAATTACATATTTCATTATCACTAAATCGGACAAAACATTTATGCGGTACAAAACACTCTCACAACACATCATACTATGTATTATTAACTTAAGTATCAAAGAAAGCTTCTGCTCATTTCAAAGACACCATTCTGTGGCACAACGATGAATGAACCACCATAGATATCATCGTACTCTGCACCCAAAACCTTTAAATTTCTCACAAGTTCATACAAATTCTACAATTCTACACGTTTTTCTAAAACCACAGCATCCAAACGTTTACAAGAAGTACTTGTCAACAACGAGACTATGACTATGACAGGTGTATCCCTTTGTGGTGAACCACAGAATTAGCTTCATGAACCACTGACCTACTGGGGAAATAGGCTTTTGTTGTTCATTGATGTATATGTGTTATTTACTGATCTCGGAGCTACAAGCGTTTATGTTGTATGTATGTAAATGTGGGAGAGCTATGCTTGGGCGTGAATGGGCCGGCTCGACCGGAGTAATATTGGTACCACGGCCTAACAGAAAACTGATGTGAAACAACGTTTGTGTTGTGTCTATCCCCCCAATCTCTCCAATCCCTGAATTCCTAACAATCCTCAAACAACACATCTTTTGCATTCCAGGTGTCAATGGGCGACTCCGATTGCTTACCATCAGGTGATACGTCAGCTCGTTTACTGGCGTATCCCATAAAAAAATGAAATCATAAAAAGAATACTTAAAAAATTACGCAAAATCGTAGAACATACATGGAGGTGATTTGGATACTAACACATAACATCACGCCTTTTATCCCCAAACGGGTAGGCAGAGGTGCACATTATGCCACTGTACAATGTAACACCCACTTTTCACTGTTTATGTTATGAGTCCCATGTAATAGGGAGCCTATTGCCATATACCGGGCACAATTCCAGACTCCGTGCTACAACTGAGAAATTTAAAAAAAACCCAGTAATACTTT